ACCATCACCTGCGCCATGGGACAGAACCTGAGAACATGTAGGGTGGGGAGTATGGGCACCAACATGCCCTGCTCATTAAAGTACCCTAGGACAAAGGGGCAAATGGTGGGCACGGAAAAACTAAAGCCCAAGCCTGCCCACAGCTATGCCCTGGCCTCTCCAACAGGGTGCTCCTGTTCTGCTCTCCACAAACACCCTGACAGGCTCAGAGAGGAGATGGAAACTCCCATACCCAACCCACTTCCTCTAACACTTCACGCTGCTGCCCCAGGCTTCCCGCAGACTTGGCCTAACGAAGACACATTCTTCTTCATTCAGAGAGACAAAACAAGAACTAGAGTCTCAATAATAATAAAAGCAATAACAATAAAAACAAGATCAGACTCTCACTGGGGTAGGCAAGAGACTGAGGAAGTGAAACCAGCCCATGTGGTGTCCCAGCACAGCGCCTGCTAAGGAGGGAGGGTGGGAAAGCCCAGGCCTTCGTTGCGGGGACAGGAGGACGCAGGAGAGGGCTGAGGTGGGGAGGAACAACTGGTGTACTGGGGGAGATTTGGGACGAGGGGGAACCATGAGCAGAACAAACAAGCCAGGAATCATGGTAAGGGTGCAAGGGCCTGAGGCCGGTTGTTTCCATAAAGAAGACTCAATCATTATAAAAATAATTTTTAGTAGTTAAAAAACACACATAGGGCCAGGTACAGTGGCTCACAGCTTTAATCCCAGCACTTTAGGGTGCCGAGGTGGGCGGATCACCAGATCAGGAGTTCGAGACCAGTCTAGCCAACATGATGAAACCCTGTCTCTACTAAAAATACAAGAATTAGCCGGGTGTGGTGGTGAGCGCCTGTAATCCCAGCTACTCAGGAGGCTGAGGCAGGAGAATCGCTTGAACCCGCGAGGCGGAGGTTGCAGTGAGCCAAGATCACACCATTCCACTCCAGCCTGGGCAACAGAGTAAGACTCAGTCTCAAAAAAAAAAAGAGTCCATCATTATAAAGATAATTTTTAGTAGTTAAAAAACACACATAGGGCCAGGCACGGTGGCTCACACCTGTAATCTCAGCACTTCGGAAGGCCAAGGCAGGCGGATCACTTGCAGTCAGGAGTTTGAGACCAGCCTGGCCAACATGGTGAAACCCTGTCTCTTCTGAAAATACAAAAATTAGCCAGGCGTGGTGGCGCATGCCTGTAATCCCACTCGGGAGGCTGAGGCAGGAGAATCACTTGAACCTGGGAGGTGGAGGTTGCAGTGAGCAGAGATCGTGCCACTGCACTCCAGCCTAGATGACAGAGCGAGACTCCGTCTCAAAGCAAAACAAAACAAAAAATACACATAGAATTTGTCCAAGTTATTATCACCCAGTATGAAAAGCACATTTTATAGTATAACCATTTTTAAATGAGGGGCCTAAGAGAGGGCAGTGGCTGGTTAGTCCTATGTTAGATATTAACAAATACGTGTAGGCTGAATATGGTAGGTCACGCTTCTAATCCACACACTTTCGGAGGCCAAGGTGGGAGGATCACTTGACTCAGGAGTTCCATAACAGCCTGGGCAACGTACAGCCCGTACCTGAAAAACGAAAAACAAAACAAGTATACAGTGCCTGCCATGTTGTCGGGTCGATCTCCTTTATTATACCTTGTGTAAAAATAAACCACCATTTACACTCACAAGGTTCCATTCTTGGCTCAGGTATTAGAGTCAGACGCCACAGGTATATAATGAAGCTGCAAATCTGGAAAAGATGAAGAAATTGAGAGATGAGCTCTGAGATCAAGGAGAGTGATGGGGGGATGAGGCTTGAACTAGGGAATCAGATCAAGACATTAACCCTATGACCTGGCCCACAGTAGGTGCTCAGTGAAAATTTGTTAATTGAATGACTTGCCCTCACCTCCCTCTGCAGCTTCATCTCCCACTAGCTTGCTCTAGCTATCTTCTCTGTGATGTTGCTGCAAGTACTAGTCCTTGTGCCCATGGTGGCTTTCTTCCCTCTCCACTCTCTACAGTCCCTGGCTGACTGTCCTCAGAGGGCGCAGAGTCAACCTTGTGCAGACAACCTTGATACTTGTGTGCGGAGGCCAGGTTTCCAGCCACCTGAGAGCCACTGGGTCAGGATCCCTGTCAGGAAGGCTCTGGGTCCCTGGGGGAAGGGTTCAGAGGTCCAGTTTACCTGGAGAGGACTGCGGTGACTGCCCCCTCCTCCTCTTGCACAGCACATAGGAAAGGAGTGCGGTGAGGATGAAGACGATGGCCAGGAGGGACAGGACCGGCACTGTAGCTGATGTCCCAGCTGTGGGACCAGCATTTTTTTTCAGCTGCTTCTGGTTCTCCCCAGCCTCAAGCCCAACTCCCAGACTGTGGCCCGCAGTGGGAATGGTGGTTTCACTGGGACGAGCGAGCTCTTTGTCCAAGGACAGTGATCCTGCTGGGAGGGTGGGGCGCTGGGTTGACTGCAAGATGGACAGGAGCATCTGGGTAGGGGTGCGGATGTCTGAAGATGCCCCCTCTGAGGCCTGAGAAATGGGGGTGCTGGTAGGAGGTAAATGCTCCTGGTGGGCCACACTCCCCAAGTAAGCATGTCCACATTCTGGAAAGGAAAGAAATGAGGAATCAGGACTATCAGGAGAAAAGGTGAAAAAGCAGATAGACGTGTAGCGGAGAAAAAGTATTATCTTTTCCTCACCCATCCCAAGGGTCAAGGCTGATACCCCTATAAATAAAAAACATTAACAAGAGAAAAGCCTAACATTTATTTAATCACAGTTTTACATGACATAGGAAATTTCAGAAACAAAGACCCAAATACCCAAGGAAAAGTGTATTTCTATGCTTAGGCTTGCTGTGAAGAATAGACAGTTGTATAGAAGTATGATTGGATTGGCTGGGCATGGTGGCTCACGCCTGGAATCCCAGCACTTTGGGAGGCGGAGGCGGGCAGATCACCTGAGGTCGGGAGTTTGAGACCAGCCTGACCAACATGAAGAAACCCAGTCTCTACTAAAAATACAAAATTAGCCAGGCGTGGTGGCACATGCCTGTAATCCCAGCTACATGGGAGGCTGAGGCAGGAGAATCGCTTGAACCT